GTTCAGCAGCTTTCAGTCAGTCTTGGCAGAGGACTAATTATTAAAGTGTAACAAGTAATTATTAGTGTAAAAAGTTACACTAATTATTAAAGTGTAACAAGGAAGTAAAATATCAGACAGCATTTTTTTATCTGAGAGAACAAAGGGAAGGAGAAAAAATATATATAAATTTGTGACTAATGAAAGACTGAAGAGCCATAGATTCACAATGCCAATGGGTTAAAAAATTCCCTGGTAAAGACAAGCAGGAAACTAGAATGTCATTGCAATCTGAGACACAAAACTCCAACAACTCAAAATGGATGCTACAAAATCAATTCATATTTGCTTAGAAACAGAAGCTCACAAAGATGGACAGTGCTCTGATACTATAGACATGATTAATTAAAAATAAATAAAAAGAAATAAAAGACTGCAAGAAATATCTAAGTCCTAATGATATGAAGAATCCAGACAAGCAAAACTAGTGCAACCTCTATGCTGTGACAACCAAATGAAAAAAATCCAGATAATTATGTCATTCTGCAAAAACTTCCCAGTACACTGAGGAAAGTGAATGAACATTTATTGAAGTTGAACTGGTTGCACAAAACTCTCTGCTTCGAGGAATATTATTTGTTGTCAAGACTACTAGTTTTGGCCCTGAGCTCTCTTCCATTGAGGCCTGTAGGTAACTGCTGGGCAGGGAAGACTTTCATCTGGATCATTAAAAGCAGATCATGGTTGCTCTTTGTGTTAGGTTGCTGAGAGCAGCAGTTCTGTTTAAAACATCTGGTCCTCACACATTCAGTAACTGTATCTCTACTGGGTGAGAATTTTGCTTCTGATTCCTCTTTGGAGCCCTTGTATCCCTTGGTCAAATATGTTTGTAACTGACTCACATATCAGAAAAGAATTTGGGAGCAAGAGAAATGCCATGTAAAGTTCTGTGGAAAAAAAATGCTTGAATTTAAAATGATCAAAGCTTTCAGATTTGCTCACTATTTATACTTGAAAGGTATGTGACATATTTCTCCTTCAAGCAAAGAGTTACAAGAGTATTAGATGTGAGCTCTGGTGACCAGGTTTATACAACAGGCAGTAGTGGGCTACCTGAAACTTTGATTCTTGTGCCCTTGTAATCATTTTTCTATTCAGCTGAGGAATTAAATCTAGTGATTTAATTTCTTTGACCTTCAGTTTCTCTGTTAGTAAAATGTAGATAATGTTACCTAGCCAACTTTGACAGAAGTGTTAAGAAGAATGTATGGATTCTTATTTCTGGAACCAGTATTTCAATATTTCAGTTTTCCATTTGCTTATGATGATTCATAGCAAATTTTCAAACATGTATCAATAGATCATAAGATAGCTAATTCTTTTCAAATTTTTTGCAGAGGGTTATAAAGTCATGTTTATTTCAAGAATTGTAAGCATATTATAACATGTAAGAGCTGTATCGATATAATTTATTTTACAAATAAAAGGAACTTTTAGTGATTGGCTAAAAATTTTCCAGATAGTAAGTATTCAAACATTCAGTCTTAACCTTCCAATTATACCTCTTTCCAGTGTGGAGCTCCATAAAAATAATAAACTGCATTGTCATTGTTGTGCTTCCTGTCAGTATCTCCTGCTTGGTCAATGTGTATTTATCAAAATACTTGTCTTGTTGATATGTGACTGCTGGAGCATTGTGGTGGCTTCTGTCAGATAATGCAGCTGTCTTGAACTCCCACATATAAGAAAAAATAAAGCTATAACCCTTTGAAGAACTCTTATAAAATGTTTCTAATTAGACACATATAAGAGAGTGCCAGAGGGATTTGTTCATTGTCACAGATCTTCAGAGCTGAATTTCTGCAACTGTTTGCTGAAGCACATAGACAACATGAGACATGTATGACTGCATGTGAGATAAGAGATGTGCTAGATCTGAAGCATCAGAAATAAGAAGCAGTGGGAAACAGAAACATCCTTGTATTTCAAGACAACAAAACTTAGTGTTTATCCACGGCATTCAGGCAACAAATACTTAATATAATGTTCAAAAGGAAACAGTTTAAAGCATACTTTTACAAGAAATTTTTAACCTTATCTGTAGTCCAGTATGAACAGATGTTCCTTTAAAATAGTGTATCTAAATGGCAGATAAACTTGTCATTTTTTGGTGATAGACTAGACAGTGGAAAAGTTTTGCTTCTTCATGTAATAAAGTTCTCTGCTGGGACAAGCAGGTCCCATGTACCTTGGAGTGTTCTGTTGAATGTGCTGTGCATGATGAGCTTTTTAGCCAGGTATCACTTACATGCAATGTGACAAGTTGTGCCATGAACAGCCAATCTAATGAAACCTAGTTTCCAGTGTCTCTCTCCCTAATTTTTTCCCTTCATGTTGACTGGTAGATGATGATCTTGTAAGTCTTTCTGTGTATAAGGATTTAATAGAGTGTCTATTCCCATTTGTAGTCCTCTTTTCCTGAAATTTGGTAAAAAAAATCCTCAGATCTTTTATGGGTTTGTCCAGTTTGCTTAAAATTGTTATGAAGCACAAAAGATCTTTCAAGGGAACAGACATTGCACATAAATACTACTTTGTCAGTCTCTTTTTTTTGAGAAACCAGTCTAAATGCAGTATTTAGAATTTTCACTAAAAGAAATCCACATGTCAGAAGGACTACTTGTATTAACTCCATCAGAATATATAACATTGCAGTATTAAAATAATTGGCAAAAACCAGCAAGTTAAAATGCTGCAGAAAATGCAGCAAAAATGCCAAATTAAGGTTACTGAATCTAAATTAATGTTTTCTTCTCTTGTATTTATAAAGCTCCATGTTACATGTGAAGCCGGGTGTACTGTGAGCAAGCTACAGGAAAATGACATGCTCAATATACTTAACGTCTAAGAGCTGGGTTAAAAAATATTGAATGCGTTTCACAGATTTCACAGAGTATTCTGTGCTGGAAGGGACCCACAAAGATCATGAAGTCCAGCTCTTAAGTGAATGGCCCATAAGAGGATCAAACCCACAACCTTGGTGTTATTAGCACCATGCATCTGAACTAAGTTCCTATTTTCTAAAGTTTTATTAGGAGCCCACACTCAAAGAGTAGACATGGATTATCGAGGCCATCCCTGGATAAATCCCTGCAAAATCTGATCCATGCCGGTTGTGCTGTAAACAGAGATTGGACCAGGTGACCTCCAGAGGGACCCTCCTGACCTAAATAATTCTATCATCTGTGACCAAAAAGAGCTGACCTATAAAGTATACGTAATCTGTATGCTTTAAATTACCTGAAATTACTTCTGTATAAATCAATTCTAGTCTTTAAAGCTGTGTTAGCCTTCATTTAACCAAAATAATATTTATCATAATACTTTATAAATCTGTACATGGTCTATTTAATAGCTAGGTTAGCTGGCAATTATTTTGTTATCTATAAAAATAAGAAATTAGAACAGATCTAAATTTTAGTCATATTGGGTATAATCTCACTTTAGATCCTGAGAAAGGACAGAATTGTATTATTTTCACAGTATCTAGACGATTAACGAGAAAATGGCATATTCAGTGATAGACAATGTGATACAAAATAGCACTTGCAAGAGAAATGCAAGAAGAATTCTACATCATTTGTTACTGAATTTAGAGAATGAGGTTGTCATTCATGACAAACAATAGTTCATCGTGTATTTCTTTTGTGGGGGATGGATAGTATAAAGTCCGAAATATTGTCTGCTTATTCAGAATGTAAACACGGAGGTGTGCAGAAAATAGTGTTTCCTGATTTGGAAATGTAGTTTATCAAGGCTTAATCAGTATAGTTTGAAGAAAAAAATATAAGACATGAAGAATAAGTCTGTAAATACTTTAGAGAAATGGAGAAAATAGCTCTCATCTGTAACAGAGAGGGAATAGTGTCCTATCACTCGTATTTCACACGAACACAGTGCCATGTGGAATGAAATTAGCAAACGTGCAGAATTGAATTGTGAACAACTAGAGGATAGCTACAACAGCCATTAGAAAAACATTTGTAGATCCTAAAGTTTATTAGATGACAGACTAATTTGTCAAGGGAAGTTCTCAAGTACAAACATTAGATAAGAGTAGCAATAGCAGGTCAAACTTTATGAGATTCTCTAGCATTATAGCAGGGGAATGTAGATTCCAGTTCTAGCACATAAGGTCTTACAAATACAAAACAGAAGCAAAATAGTGGACAGAAGGATAGAAAACGTACTCCATTATTCATCAGATACATGAATAAGAAGTTTTGCAACTACCAATGAATTTATATTGCTTAAGCATGCATCATTCTCCTATATGTTCTAAAACAAAACAAACAAACCAGCCAAACCCCCCCCACTCCCCAAGAAATTAACAGTTTAAAATGCAACCTGCTCCTTGAGGGTGTTGAATAATTATGAACTATGCTTTGGAAAGTCACAAAATATATTGATAGAGGCAGCTGTCAGGACCGAATCCCTCCATATTCTGTAGAAATGCTGCAAAATAGCCTATATATATATAGATTTATTTTCTTCAGGTTATATATATGTTTGGTTTGTTGAGACTAAACCTGAAGTGTTGCAGAATCCAGTGCTTAATTCAATTAGACTGTTATTTAGTAAGTTATATTTGAATAACCATTCGAATAAACAGCTTTGCACTTCTAATGTATAATTAAGGTTACATGTCTCTATATTGTAGTATTCCCCATTGGAACAAAAATAAGAGATACAGAGTAGTCTCAAATCAAATGTAAGATTCATCAGCTGTTTTCTGAGATAGATTTTATGGTCTGATTAAGTACTCACTAGGTCACTCTAAACTGTGTCTGGGAAAGGGAAGAATTTATTCATGGTTCTATTTTACGTATAACATTTTTATCCATATGCACCATATTTATAGTCTGGTTTTATCTTGGGCCGAACTAGTGGTCTAATGAACTAAGTTTAACTCAGTTGATAGCGGAATTGTTAAAGCAGTGTTTCTCTCTTCCTCCCTACAGTATGCTGTCTGGCTGATTCTTTGGGTTACGTGGAACGTGTTTGTTATCTGCTTCTATTTGGAGGCTGGGGACCTTTCGAAGGTAATTTACCATTGGATAATTCAAGCCATCAGCACTTTGTTAACATACCCCAGTCAACAACAGATTGTGCTCTGTTTTACTCATCCTTTTTGTGTTATCAGGAGTGTAGTAGTATGATGGAAATTTGGAATATTCTGGAGCGTTAGAAATTTTTAAACTAGAAAGTAATGAGCATATGCATTCTGATGCCCACAAAAATAATAGTATATATGTTTTAAAAGAAAATTTCTTCTTTTTGCCACTCTCAGTAGTCTTGCAGTGCAAATTTCACCCCTGTGAGAGACATTAATTAATGCTCTCATGAATACAAAACATTGCCATCTCAGGGGTAAACAAATATTTATTGTACCATTTAGCTTGCTGTTACTTAGCTGGATTCGATTCAGGGTTCTTACATCATGGCATAACAATTACAAAAGAAGGGGTCTTTCATTAAATTAAGTTGTAAATGGAGATGCCAGAACAGATTTCCTTTTGGCTTCAGCAGTGATTTTTAAGTTTGTGCTTATGGTAGTAATGTTATGCTTGAACACTTATACACAGTAAAAATCCATAGGAAAAATATATTTTCCCAAGAATTACATATTTATAGGGTTTTATTGACACTGTAAGTGATAACATATAAAGTGGCAGTTGGTAATGGCTCAATCCAACATTTCAAACCAAAACTTCTACTTTCAAAGGTGTTCCCAGAAAGCTGGCAGTTTGTGGGATAAAAGATTAGCAGTGGCAACAAATTATTTTTTTAGAGTAATACACTTCTAAATATTGTTGCCCGTGCTGAATTATGCTCACAGTGCTATGAACTGACCATCAGGGAGAATCTCATGTGTCAAACGGATCACATTCCATTCTTGACTTAGATTTTTAATAGGGAGTTTAGCCCGACTGTAAATTAAAGATGTAATTCTCTGATCCTTTGTGAGTTACTGATATCTTATGATACAGAAAGTTAAACACAATTATAGGAAGAATAAATGGGGCAAAGATACTTCCTTACCTGTATTTTGTTTCAAATCACCCCCAATGTACAAAAGCTACTGGAGACAAGAGTATTTCATCCCCATGTATTCTGTTTCTTCAAAAGATACTGACTTCAAAAAGGATCAGAATTTCATTTCCTGAGGGTGTAAAGTACTTTTCTGCAGGTAAAACATTACACTTTCTGGGTTTTATATCTTCAATCTCATTAAAAGCTTGGCAAAAAACATAGTAAATAAAAGAACTTGCCTATCTTTTTTTTTGGTTAAAATACTTTCTTTATTGCTAAGTGAACTAATGTACATAACAAACTCAGCACCTGTTGTACAATTATACTCAATCCAATCCGCCCTCTTTCCACCCACTTGTTTCAACCACCTGCATTCCTACAGTTGTAAATGTTGGGATGCTTATCTTGTCTGGGGAAGTGAAAAGGGATGGAAAAAGAATGGAGAAAATAGAGGCAGCTGTTTGAGTACTGTGTCTTAATGGGTATAAAAACAGCTTAAAACACTAGTAAGTGCTATTTGGAATAAAAATGGGCTACAAACGGTACCTAAACCTTGAACTGATATTTTTTCTGTAGTCTAGGGGTGTGTCATCTAGAGTTTTCCCAACCAACCATAGAGTTCAGGCCTATGCTTGAATGCAGTTAAATTTTTTATTTGATCTGTAGAGGTATTATTTGTTCCAGTGATATGATTTTCCTTGAAATACCCATTAGAGTATATTCCTTGCACTTCAACTGGCTTTCAGAGCAACAGAATTGCTAAAAAGAGAAAGCAAAGTTCCTACAAAATGGATTCAAGAAATAGATAGAGATCTATTCTAAAAAAGGTCTAATTCACATTTGAGGCATCACTCTCCACTCCTTTTCAACTGTGAATAGTATGTCAAAGCTCCCCTACATGATCGAATATTCTGCAAGATCTAGGGACTAGAAATATATGTCTAATGGAAACATATCCTCCTGTTCTAGGAGGATAAACCTTTTCAAAATCTCTGACTGTTTTACTGATGTAGGTTTCTTACAAAATGGATCACTGTAAGTGTTACGTCTCTCAGTCATACTCATAAATCTTGCACTGAATCTTCTTTATTATTTATATTTTCATCCGGGAATAACTGCAACTTTAAATCTGTAGTGATAATCCTACATATTTTGTTTATTTGGAATGGCATGTAGAACCTTGAGAAAATCTCTGGGTCTGAATTGGTTCTAAACAGAGAATAAAAAATAACCTTTAGGCAAGTACTGGGGGGATGCCTCTGAGGTTGTAAACCATAAGAGAGGATCTTGTGGAGCATGGCTTTAAGAATTGATGGATTAAAATTACAGCCTAATAATAGTTCAGATGGGTATAGTTTATTTTTATATATATAATTCATAGCTTACTACCAAATAAAATAAAAGCAAGACTGTTTTTTTTTTAAGTTTTGTGAACAGCTTTCATTCTATGTATGTGTACAACAATTTTTCCATCATCACCTGCTAATACAATGGAGAGGACATATTTCACTGTTATTATTAATCATTGTTTTTAATAATTATAACAAAAGGCTTGCTAACTTAATCCTTTTTTTAACTTAAGTTGTGGGGGCATAGATCATGACATTTTTACAGTTTCTCCTTATTACACTGAAACAGGTCTGCAAAGACAGAAATTTTTAGAACAATGAGACAGGGAAATCCATTTGCATTATACACCATTGCAATCATAGATATCTTGTGAGAAATGGCATCACACTAAGTATTTTCTATCCTCAAGGCACAGTTATCTTTGCTGAAATTCTTTCACATCAAGTTGGAATATTTATGGCTTTATAAGAAAGGTTTGTAACAAAGAGGAAGTGCAATGACTTGTTCTTAACCTTGATTTTTATGTGGATCTGTGAATGAATACCTAGAAAGCCCACTTCTCAAACTTACTTTTCAGTATTACCCTTTGAAAACATTTAATTAGTCTGCGTGTTGTTTTGCTTGCTGGTGAGTGCCATACTCGGTATAAATAGGACTTTTTGGTTTCAGGATTGGTAATATTTATTTTGGCCTGTGGCTAAGCAAATGTAGCATATGAAAAGCATAACCTCTTGTCTTGAATAACCCACATCTAAAGTACACTAGTGAAACAAAAGAGTAAAACATAATAGAAAGCATTTCTGAGAAAAATGTAATATTCCTGTGATTTTTTTAAACCGAGGACAGGACATAATGAGATAGATTCAGCTATCTCAGAACAACAACAACAAAAAAATACTCATGTGATTAAGAAACAATATTCTTGCTTCAAGGCATTTGAACGCTTCCCCTAATGATGCCTAATGATGCCTAATGATCCCACAAGGAGAACAGAAGCAGAATAAGACCGACCATACTCCTATTTTTGGTTTAGAAATGAGTAAAAATTTTTTTGCTGAAAAGAATGTGTGGCTGAGCTTGCACTGCTGCTATCATAAGCATAATGGGTGGAGATACTGCTACTGTCGGTTTCTGGAAGTCAAGGCAGAGGCTGGGCTTGGGATGTTGAACAAGGGGAACCAGCTGGGATTCAGGATCCAAAGCAGCCCTTGATGCACATGATTCCAGCCTTGATTCAGTACTTTCGGTTCTCTTTGCATGCAGCCCTATTTGTGTGACCAGATACAAGAGCTCTCCTCTCACTGCTGCCTGGCTGAGCTCTGGAATTACTTTGCTGTAGTCCCTAGAGTATTATGTGTTTGTGAATAAGAAAGCACTTTTTATAAACTCATTTTAACTGTCAAAATTGGTTTATTTTCTAGTTTTGTGGCATTCTTTACATCTTCCTTATTTATACTTAATAATATACAAATGTTACATTTAATCTATTAAATCATAAGTTTGTACTTTTATATCTTTTGACACAAAAATTTCAATTTTGAAAATCAAACACTCCAGTATCAAGATATGCCAGAATTAAGATTGACTTCACATGATTTAGCTCGCTCTTTAGATTAATTTTTATATAGCTTTTAATTACGCAGTCGCAACTGTATTTTTTTCTTTTTCACTATCCTTTCCTTTATCCCTATAGCACATGGCCTATTTTAGAGATGAAGGTCTGGGAGTTGAGTGACACTGCCATACTGGATCTTACTCCATGTACTGCAACAGTGAGAAAAAAATATAGAAGTAAAACCTGTACTTCAGTTTCAATCTGAAAACATGTAGAATAAGAATATGAAAGGTTAGCTACAGAACCGTGGTACCTAAGAGCTCTAAGCACACTGGTGATATTGTGTACATGGCTCACCATATGTAGTTGGAGTGTGGTTCCTGAAGATTTTAGTACTCATTCTACAGATATGAGTTGCAAGCTATTGTTCTAAAAAAAAAACCTTTCTATTTGCATTCAAATTATGTTACTTCCTTTCCTATATTGCCCTGAACTGCAACAGGGGAACATGAAATAATAAGGAAGACTAAAAAATGAACCTATTTAAAATTGAAATGGTTAAATATGATACAAAGAACTGAATGTACCATAGTTATTAAAATGTAAGCTTAAGGGAAATTTGTAATCAAGTTGCTTCCTGCCAGAAGTTTTAATGGAAATCAAATATTTCTGACCACTTTGTCTCCTACCCACCCCAAATAACTGGAAATATAAGATAACAGACTTACAAAATCACTTATTCATGTTGGAAGAGACCTCTCAAGGTCTCCTGCTCAGAGCAGCACCAACTTAAAAGTTCTATCAGGTTGCTCAGAGTTTTAGCCAGGCAAGTTTTAAAAGTCTCCTAGAACAGACATTTCACAACTTCTCTATTTCTTAACCACTGTCATTGTGAAAAAATTTCTACTGATAAGAAACTGAAATTTCCATTGCTGAAATGACATTGCTTCTTGTCCTTTCACTGTATACCTCTGAGAAGAGTCATGCTTCATCTTTTCTAACACCCCTTTTAGGCTTTTAAATGAAGTTTAGTACTTCAGCTTTCTATTTGTCCTTTCTGCAGTTGAATTCCTATTTCCAACCACAGACAGCTTGTTGCACCTC